GAAGACTATACACAAATGGACAAAAAAAGTTCATCATATATATGTAAATATGTAGACATTTCTGTATGCATACTCACAAACATACACACACACACACACACACACACACACACATCACTCACTGCATTATAGCATTATGTAATTTTTCCAGAAGTTTCAAAACATTTTTCTCCTTAATATTTTCTCAGGTACAAGAAGTGCTGAGTTTATTTCCTCTACTTGGAATACTTGACAATGCAATCAATTGTTTTTGTTTTGTTTTGTTGTTTTTTGAGTTGGAATCTTACTCTGTCGACCAGGCTAGAGTGCAGTGGCATGCTCACAGCCACTGTGGCCTCGACCTGCTGGATTTAGGTAATCCTTCCACCTCAGCCTTCCAATCAGCCAGAGCTATAGATGCACACCATAATGCCAGGTTAATTTTTGTGATTTATTGTAGAGACAAGGTCTCACCAAGTTTCCCAGGCTGGTCTTGAAGCCCTGGGCTCAGGCCGTCCACTCATCTCAGCCTCCCAAAGTGCTGGGATTACAAGCTAAGCCACCACACCTGGTTGGCAATCAATTGTTACTAAACATAATAATTTTTACTTATATTTACTATGGTCACATTTTAGAGCACTACAGTCTTGAAGTACTGAAGTTATTCAAAAGTAAAATCTAAACATTTTAAAATGTGGCATTTTAAAAGGAAAATAAATGTAATGTGATTCAATAACAAGGACAATAGTGACCATACTTCATCAAATTTAGAGTAATTTTTTTGCACATTTTAACATATCTGAAATTTGCATATATCTTAACAAAAAAGGCATCTTACAATTGAAATTGGCAGCATTTTTGTTTTTCCTCAGCACTCTTATCCTTAGGAAAGAAATAATTTTGTGTCTTAGGATTGATTCCTTGTTAACATTGATGAAATACAGTATTAGGAAAAATATCAAAAATAATAAGGATGAGATGAGCTCCTGAAACAGAACCCAGGGGAAAACAGGCCTCTGGTAGATGATATCTGTGAGCAGTTGAACAAATTCTAATTAAAAGTTTTAATTGCTTTCCTATTCTGCAATTTACTATCAAATAATTATGATCCACTTGATTGTATCAAGTTAAACACAAACATGGGTGGCTATGGCTGGTGATTGTGAAAAAGGGTTTTTCTAGTGGCTTTCATTCTACTGTGACCAGTGATAATAGGTTTAGTGTGGCCATAACACATAGACATGAAGGAGCAAAGGAAGAATAAAAAAAAAAAAAAGCCAAGCTACGTCATCTAAGTCTTAGTTAACTATTTCATGTCAGATGATCTAAGTCAAGGAAGTAAGGATGAGAGAGATTGTCTTGGTTAAGGTGTTTCAACATTAACATCACTAGTATTTTGACTAGATAATCATTTGTTTGGGGTGCAGAGATTTCCCTGTACATTGGAGGTTTAGTATCACCCCTGGCTTCTACTTGCTAGATACCAATAGTACCATACCCCCACAACCCTCATCCCCTACCACACCTCCACCAGTTTTGACACCAAAATTGTTTCCAGACATTGCCAAATAGATGGCAGTCCTCTTTGTTGAGAATCACTCCTCTAGGTCTGTTACCATTCTACAGTACTTCCAAAAATTCAAGTGAGAGATACAGATAAATAAATGCAGAAAAGTAAACATAATTCATAAAGCCTCCCTTGAAAATAATAGAAGTGATCTGAAGCCTTAAAAATATTTTAGGATTTTGGGTTACTAAAATTCCAGTAGATAAATACTAGAAAAAAATTATACATAGCATTCACTGTCCAACTTGTATCTGTACTATGGCTAAAACTATGAAAAATTGATATATATATAGAGAGAGAGAGAAAGTCAAAGGGGATCTAAAAAAATAAAATGGTTGACATTGGTTTATGAAATTGTGCGTGTTTTCCATTATTGTTGTTACTTATGCCATGAGTAATTAAAAATTTCCTGCTTTTGGTTGTCTGATAATAACTAACAAAATACTTGATGCTATGGTTCACACCTATAATGCCAGCACTTTGCGAGGCCAAGGCAGGAGGATATCTTGAGCCCAGAAGTTCAAGACCAGCCTAGTCAACACAGAGAGGCTCTGTCTTTTTAAAAAAAAATCAAAAACTTAGCTGGGCATGGTGGTGCGCACCTGTAGTCTCAGCAACTCAGGAGGCTGAGGCAGAAGGATTGTCTGAGCCCAGGAATTGAGGCCTGCAATGAGTCACAATCATGCCCCTGCACTCCAGCCTCAGTGACAGAGTGAAACCCCAATGTAGAAGGAAGAGAAGAAGGGAGGGAGGGAGAAAAAATGTAGCTAATAAAGAGCCATATGAAAGGTGCAGAATAATTAAACACCAGTGGATAATAGCTAGCATTTTCTCAGTGATTATTACATGCAGGCACAGGAATATATACTGTATATGTACTGATTCTTTTAATATTTATAACAATTCTGAGAGACAGGCGTGTTTCCATGAAGAAAAATTGATTTGCTTAAGAGATTACAACATTTGTAAATAGCAGATTCCAGAACCAGGTACTGGACCATCTGACTTCATACCATTCACTCCTGACTACATATTTTACAGAAACTTATTATTCTGTCCCCCTACTGCTATGACTCCCTTATTCAGGTCTACTCATAGCTACCCCCCGTGTTCTTTATATTTTTATTTCTAAGACCTGGCTCATACTGTTTTCCCCAGTGGAAAATATATTCCCCTCTATCTGTTTTTGGGTGTTTTTTTCTTTTTTAAACCATATCCTTCCTTTGATACTTAGCTTTAGATTCATTTCTTCCATGAAATTTTCTACGATTATCCCAGCCATAGAGATCTCCCCTCTTTCTGAACACCTTTTACTGTACGTGTAATTAGGTACTTGTTACATAGGATTTCAATTTATAACTCCTGATAACAATAGCTAATCTGCATATGGAATTTAACAAAGGGATTTACACACAATATCTCATGTTATTCTTAACATAAACTTTTTTTGTTACAACCGTTTCACAGGGTTCAGAGCTGACTGGATTGTTCAAGGAGACACCTGACAAGTAGCAGACCTGAACTTGAATTTAAGTTCTAACTCCAAACCACATGTTCTTCCCTAAAGAACAAGGCTTGTGGCCCCACTGTGTATAAATATGTGTAAGTGTGTCCCAAAAACTACTTTGCAATTTTTGTGTTTTAAGTTCTTCCACTTTCCTTGCTCTACTCAGTATTCAGTAAGCTCTTAGAATAGTCATTTATTTATTGGATTATCTTGGTCTCCTAAGCCTCAGAACCTAAAACCATAATAATAGTAATAACGAATGTTCACTTATATCTGTGCACAAAACACTGTTCTCAGCACTATACATGGATTGCATATAAAGGAACACAGTAGTCACGAGATTAGGAAATTATAAATGTTTTCCTATCAACTGAAACTCCAATCTACCTATAGTTGCATTTCTGTTTGAACTTGATTGATAATAAACCCTCAATAAATGCTAACTAGTATTTATAACTAATTAATTGCTTCTTGTCAGATACTTCCACATGTATTTTTTCTCATTTCATAGTGCTTTAAAAACTATGGTAAATTACTATTTTATTTCAAAGAAAAAAATGAGTTTAGAAAGATTAGGTAACAAGTAGAAAGTAAAAGCTAATTTTAACCCCAGCAGCTAACTCCTCACTTTTAACTTTTTCATCATAGAAAACCAACAAACACCTCTAATTCTAGTTTCTAAATCAGTCTGCACATATAATATATAAATATTTAAGTATATTTACTATTGCATATATAAATACACAATAGCATATATATTTGCATTCAAGTTTTCAGAGCAAATTTTATTTCTATAATATCAAATTCTGTAGTGTCATGATGATGATAGCACTTTAGAAGTTCCCAGGCAAAGGAGATTGCTAGAGAACAAAAGGTAGATTATTTGTTTCTCTTGGTGGAAAGCTTGTGAGCACCAGCCCATCAAAGAAAATGTTTGCCTTGATATTTCTCTAGCAGGGCTTGGGATGGATCCAGGGAGGCCTTCTGTAGTATGGAATGAAGTTCCTTACCCTAAACCAATTTGCCCACCTTGGCCTCATATGTGTCATGAAAAAGGCAGGTGCCTTCATCAGCCAAGCATTGTTGGCAATTCCTAGTGGTCTGAGAGTTACTTGGCACACTGTCAGGTAACTGACATCCAAACAATATGGGATCTGGTTTTCAGTAAGGTAATTACTGAGCAAACCTGCATGGTCTAGAGACCTAAGCAGGGTGTTACGCCACATTGAACAAACAGCACACCTGAATAAGCTTATTGTCACTAAAAAACTATTCTCTTTACTCACAGGAATATGCCAAAATTGTTTTATTTGCATACAGGCTTAAGCCACCTGTTCTAAAACCACATTGTATTTTCTCACTCTTTCATTTTTTTAGGGCACTGCAGATCTTGAAAGTGGTTTCTATAAGTTTAGTTCAGGAACATTCCCACAAGAATGTAATCCAGGTTCACAACTTCCCATCCAGAGATCACCCCGCGTCCAAGAAGACTCAAGCCTGAGAATCTTTTGCCTCATAATCAGGCACTCTTGTTTGCAATAAATGGGCTAAAAATTCAAACTAATCTTGCTATCACAGAGCATCCTTCCAGCTTTTTTTTTTTTTTTTTTACATAGAAATAATATAGAAACACCAAAAAAAATAGAAATATAGTTATTTTAGAGACTGGTGAAGAATGGCTGTCCTTTATTCATCAGTGGTCACAAACCCCTTGACACTGGAGAATTCATTGACTAGTCAGGGATCATATTTGAGAAATGTTCAGAATATTTTGCTGAAGTCAAGCAACTTAGAAATGGTAACTAATTTCTAGAGCCATCTTGCCAAGATGGAGAAGTTTATTTTACATCTACGTGAGTGCCCCCACAATGAATTTCAATGTGATTCTGGGGTATAAGGACCAGACAGAATCCAGTGTGCTGGATTTTCCTTCTTTCTTTCTTTTTGTAAGCGTTGATCTTTTATTATCTGACTGTAAATCTAGACCATTCACCAGCCCAGGAAGGGCACCTGGATGGGCTTAATCCTCCTCCTCGCCCTCTCCAGCTCCCGCCCCACCCTGGCCCTTCTTGGCATTTTTCCTCTTCACGCGGCCTGGGCGGCCACCCCCGTCTGGAGAGCGGAGGGAGAAGTCAACGTGCTTCTGGGAATCCAGGTGGACGGTGCAGGACGGGATGTCCACAACCTGCTTGCGGCCCCTGATACGGCGCTGGCGGATCAGCACACGAGCATGATGAATGGACTTGGCCAGGCCCAGCTTGAAGACCTGGGTCTGCAGGCGCCTCTCCAAGAAATCCTCGATCTTCGGGCCCAGGATGCTATCCAGCTTCATCTTGCCCTCATCCCGCACCCCAATGCGGGCAAGTCGCCGCCGCAGGGCATTGCCTTCAAACAGACGCCGCGGGTCCTTTCCGTCTAGCGTCAGCAGCTCCCGGGCGGCCTTGCGGATTTTGGCCAGCGTAAACTTGACCCTCGAGCTGAATTTTCTTAAAAGCGATTCTCTATCTGTCTCTCTTAGGCAAGTTTTGCCAATTCACTTAGTCTCCCCATGCCTCCGTTTCCTCCCATTCATTAATTAACAATATACTTGTTGAATCTCCTATGAACCAGATGCTGTAGTCTAGGTTCTGCAGGTAAAACAGCAAAGAAATTGTTGAAAAACATCCTGCCTCAGAGAGCGTGAGGCACTCAACTGGAGGAAAATATACAATGAACAAATGCATAAGTAAAATATGTGGTATATCAGAGGGTGAAAAATTCTGTAAAAGATAGAAAAGAAACCCACCAAAATTCAAGTTGAAATTTGATCCCCAGTGTGGTGGTATTGGAGGTGGGATCCAATGGGAGGTGTTTGGATCATGGGGGTGGATCCCTCATGATTGGCTTTGTGCAGTAGTGAGCAGGTTCTCACTCTGGCAAGACTGGATTTGTTCTTGCAAAGGGTTACTTCAGTTTTCCCAGGAAGAGTTTAGTGCCCAGGAGAGTGGGTTGTTAGAAAGTGAGATTCCTCCTGCTCTTTCGTCTCTCTGCATGTGTGTCCTCCTAACCTTTGATCCCCCCCATCATGTTTTGATCTTGCACATGGTCCTCACTAAAAGCCAAGCAGATGCCAGCACCATGTTTCTTGTACTTCCCAGCCTGCAGAACTGTGAGCAATAAACCTAATTTCTTTATAAATTACCTGGTCTCAGGTATTCTGTCATAGCAACATGTAATAGATTAAGACAGAAGAAATTGTAATTTTAAAGAGGTCTGTCAGAGATTTTTCCTAACAAGGACATTTGGACAAAGTCATGAAGGAGTAAGGAAGTGAGCAGTGTGGATATCTGAGGGAGAGAATTCCAGGCAGAGAGGAAGGAAATGCAAAGGCCCTGAGGTTCAAAGATGTCTGGTGCATTCCAGGGATATTAAAGTGGTCAATAGCAAGCTAAATCAGAGTAAGAAAAGGGGACGGGTAGGTCAGAGCACATTAGGCCTTTTAGGTTATTATAAGGACATTGGCTTAAAGCACTGGACTTAGAGCATTTGTTTTCAGCAGAGTAGCGTGGTCTGACTTGCATTTTTAAAAGATTATGCTAGCTTATATGTGGAAACTAGACTATGGGGAAGCATAAACCCAACTTTACTCAACAAAGAACTTCAAACAAGAGACTATTGCAATAACCCAGGCAACAAACAACTAAGGCTTGAATTAAAATCTCTTTTCTTCTAAAAACAGAGAGTTAGGGAAGAGGATTTGAAACTTAGTAAAATAAGACTAGTGGATGTTATTGGACTCTAGATGTATTTTTGAAGTAGAATCAACAGAATTTCATTGGAATGAATATAGTATTTAAAAGAAGTCAAGGATGACTCAAGCTTTTGGCTGAAGAAACTAGAAGGATGGAGTTGCCCTTTGCCAAGGTAAGGAAGACAGAGGAAGAAGTAGGTTTGGTAGGCAAGGGTATGAAGGAGATACTGTGGTAACCAGGAGCTCAGATTCAGCACCCTGAGTGTGAATTAGGCATCCAAGTGGAGTAAGCAGTTGGTTACATGAATCTAAAGTGCAGGAGATGAGCTCTTCCTAGAAATAGAAATTTGGGGATGATCAGCATAGAGATAGCATTTTTATTTTTTTGAGCTAGAATCTCACTCTGTCACCCAGGCTGGAGTACAGCAGCATACTCACAGCCACTCCAGAGTTGATCTGCTGGATTCTGACAATTCTTCTGCCTCAACCTTCCAAGTAGCTGGAATTATAGGTGTTCACTACCACACCAGCTTATTTTTTAATTTTATTATAGAGACGAGGTCCCAGGCTGGTCTCGAACCCATGGGCTCAGGCAATCCATTCGCCTCGACCTCCCAAAGTGCTGAGATTACAGGCTGAGCCACCAAGTCTGGCCAGAAATAGCATTTTAAGCCCTGAGATTGAAAGAGATCATCAAGGGGTGAGCCTCCAAAATTCAGTGGCCTAAGCAGTGATGAGGAACCAGAAACAGAGATTGAAGAAGACTGGCCAGTGACCCTGGAACACCATGAGAGACATCAAAGGGTGTCCAAGAGCAGGGAATGAGCAACTCTGTCAAACTCCACTGCGAGGTCTCACCAGACAGGATGTGCAATTGACCATTGGAGTCGTGACATTGAGGCTGCTGATGACCTTGTTAAAACCTTTTTTTTCTAAACAGATTTAGGGAAGAGTAATTGAAACTAAGAATACAGATAATCCTTGGGAAGCTTCACTCAAAAGGAGGACCAAGGAAAAGGGGCAGTAGCTGAAGAGGGAGGTAAAGTTAAGAGAGACTTTCTTTAAGTTAGCTTTACTGGGGTATAAGCTACATATGATAAAATCCACCAATTCTAGATGTACAGCTCCATGAGTCTTGACAAATGTATACACCTGTGTAAGCACTACTACTGTCAGAAGCTGCAACCCCTAAAGAGGCAAAATGGAGGTTACCCGAAAATGGGAAAAACACTGACTGGGAGCAGAGCCCCAGTGGGAAGCGGCCATGATGGAGGCAGAGCCCCATGGATCCTATTGAAGGACTCCTTTTAGTCTTAAAGTAATGCATGCTTAGGCTTGAAAAACACTTCCCTTGATAAATAAAACAATTAGCTAGAATGTGCAAGGATGTGGAATTCGCAGTAAACCTATGTATGGAAACGTAAAAAGGGCTCAATAGCAAAAATGTTCCCCCTGAAGGGACAAGGGAATGCAAATTTTGAAACCTTTAGCTAAAAAGGAAAAACAAGTACTTCCTCATATCCTTCCTAAGTAACAACATTGACAGTTGTGATTGATGAGGAAGTGAGAAACTGAGACAGAGTATCTCCAAAAAACAGGTGTTTTCAGGAAAAACAAGTCACAGACATGCCTTTTGATTTAAGAAATATTATAGTTTAATTAGAAAGAGGGTTAAAATTAAAATAAGGATTAGAATTAAATAAATAACAATTATAATTTAAAAAATAAATGTTTATTATAGATGTAGGTATTAGTTAAATATAAGTAATAGAAGGAATAGGAAATAATTCAGTTTTAAGGTAAACTTAAAATTATATACACCTAATGTAGGTTTAAAATTAAATACATTTAGGATTAGAAGTAAGATTAATTTAATATATAAGTGTAGATTTAGGCATGTTTTGTTTAGAAATATAAAATGTAAAATGGGTGATAAGAAAATGGCAAATAATATAGATAAGGCAATTAGAATTAAGAAAGTTAAATTTTTTTAAAAATAGAGTATTAAGAATTCGTAGTGGGTAAGATAAGGGTGGTTATATAAAAGAAAAAAAGTCAATATGTTGTTGCTAAAAATATATATAAAGGTAGAATTAAGAAAATAGATTAGTAAGGGAAAAGAAATAGAATAGCGAAGGGAAGAGATTCAGTTGGTCTAGAGGTCACAGGATGTGGCTGATAAATTCTTGGCAGCTGGTATTTTGTTACACCACTGGTAGCAGGAAGGAACAAAATGAAACTTATAAAGGTCAACTTCCCCATAAACAAAAGAAAAAACATGATGTCAACATTTAATGTGTAACATGGGATACATTTTGTGGGTAGGGGGGTCAGTAAAAAAACTATATAAGCTTGTAAGAATTGAATAAAAATTGGCAGAGTCTTGAGCTCTCCCCAGGAAGAGGATTCCTGTAGTTTTTGTCTTTTCTCTTTCGCCACTTCCCAATTCCCCCATCTCAAGCCCTGACTCTCTCCTGGAGCTGGACTACAGCATACTACAATCAAGATACAGAATGTTTTCATCACTCAGACACTTCTTTTGTGCCTTTTCTAGTTTATCAGTCTCACACCCCCAAACCCAGGCAAACACTGAGTTGCTTTCTGTCATTATAGATCAGATGTGGTTTTCTAAAGCTTCACATAAATGGAATTATACAGTATGCCATCTTTTATATTTGGCTTATTTTTCTCAGTACACTATTGCTGAAAAACATCCATGTTGATGTATTTATTTATTGGTACGTCCTTTCTATGACTGAGTAGTATTCCATTGTATGGATATACCACAGTTTGTTTATCCATTTACCTCCTGATAGACATTTGAGCTGTTCTCCAGTTGGGGCTTTTATGAATAAAGCTGCTATAAACATTTGTGTACAAGTCTTTTGTGGATATTTGCTTTCATTCAACAAAGAATTTTTGTTCAAGATCAAAGGAATTTGGAAGTCACCATTTCGATTAGGGTGATGCAAAGATTTAGAATTTATCATAACGTCTTGGTCTTGGGTTTATATACTTTCTTGTAAACTAAATAAGCATCAGTCATCTGTAAACATTTATTCAGTGTCCCACTTTAGTGAAATAGTGTGGATATTGCCCTTCCCTTCAGTTAGCACACAGTCTTGTAAAGAAAACAAAAGCAAAAATAGATTGGGTGAGGGTAAGCTTCTTCACAGATCTGGCAGTAAACTCAAGGGATCCTTTGTCCGAGGAGACAAAAACTGGCTACAGCTATAAGTTGGCTCAAGAAAATGTTTACACATAATAATACAAGTTATAAAATGTTAAAGAATAAATTTGTCAGTGTTAAGGAAAAGTTGGGTATGCTTATGACACATTTCTAACCCTGAAGAGTATCAACATCCTCATTATCAATTGTAACCACCATGCTCTTGGGTGCATCGTTCATAAAGGTGACCTCCCCATGATTTTGGTGACCAACTGCCAGCTTTTGATTGAGGAAGCATAGCATGTGTTGTTTCTAGTTCTTCCTGACTCACCTTTTGCATGATCTATGGTAGCTTATCTAACTTTTTATGCCACCATTTTTTCCTTTGTAAAATGTAAATAACAACATACGAGTGACATTAGTGAAGTATTGCAAGATGTACTCTGTTCCCTGACTACAGAGTAAAGTGTGAGAACTAACAACAAAATAATACCACAAGAACAAGTTTCCCTGTGTTCCCCAAACTTTGCCTATAAAAAATACTTGAAATCCTATTTCTTTTTTAATCTGCTAAGAATAGGTGGGCCAGACTATACTGAAAAAGAGAGATGCAG